GGATGTTCCACAAATTATTATATCCTCTTTATTAAGATTGGTTGAAATTTAATACAAATTAATTATGCAAACTTAAATATTTTCTATCTATAGATACATACAGGGTGTCAACTAATAAATTGTCATCCTTTGGGGAACATCCCCTTAAAGGATGATAACTTATTTGGTTACACCCTGTAGTTTTCATCTGTATTAAATGTTTTATTTAGTGTATTGTATTAAATAACTTAATAATTAAAAAAGATACATACAAATTTCTGAAAATATTAGTATTTAGTTTAATTAAACAGTCCCCCGGCATCTTTTGTAGCCAGGGGACTGTCTCGGTAGTAAGTAGGGCGAAGTTAAAAACAAATAATTGGGGTAGTTTTTCTGTAGCAGCAATTATTGTCTACATCTCATATAAGATTTCTTAAATATAAATCTGAAAACTTTGCTAGGATCATCATAATTACCTTATTTGTATGTTCATGTATAAAGACTGTACAAATTTATTCTTTAAGAATAAGTGTCCACTATATCCAAAATTACAATATTTTCTAATGCAGGACCATCTTCTGACTCTTCATCACCCAAATATCCACTGACAACTTGAATTGTCTCTACGGGTGCGTTAATTTTTCGGTGAGACCTCATGTGTTCATTTAAATTATCCGAATCATCAAAAATCTTTCCGCAGATCGAGCAAAACTTTATGGTTTCCTCAGCTTCCACACCTACTGTTCCCTTATACACAACAGCTGCCGTTTCGTGTGATTTTCTGTGCTTCTTAAGCGTGCTAGAGTCGTGAAACCCTTTGTCGCAGATCACGCATACGAAAGGGGTTTCCCCGGTGTGAATCCTGGTGTGAATCGTGAGGTTTCCCTGGCTGGCAAAAGTTTCTCCGCAGAAAGAACACCTGTACGACTTCTCGCCGGTGTGAGTTCGCATGTGGCTTTTTAAATGTGTCGCCTGCATAAACGCTTTCTGGCATATTGGGCACACGTGCGGCCTCAACTTTTTGTGCGTCCTCATGTGCCTGTCAAAGTGATTGCCGAGCGCAAAAGTCTTAGGGCACACATCACAGAAGTACGGTCTTGCGCCGGTATGAATCGTTTGATGCGCCAGAAGGTGCGTACTCGAGTAAAAACTTTTACCGCACTCGCTGCACAAAAAGTTTTTTTTTCGTTGCCGATTGGATTCATCTTCGTTGGCCTCGGGTTCTTTAACCCTTTCAGTCTTCGATTTGTGATTCAACAGATGCCTTTCGAAAAAGGCGCTGTATTTAAAATGTTGCCCACATATTTGGCATGTTTTGTTTATTTTTTTCGGGCGTTCGTGGGTTAACGCATGTGTTTTCAGGTGTGTTGCGGTGTAAAAATCTTTGAAAAATAAAAACTCGTTGTAGTACCGGTTTTTTGTAATTCCCGAAGCAAATTGTTATTAATTTTGCAAAAGATACAATTCAATGAAAAAGTTATTTGAAATATAAGTAAATTTGGTTAAGGGTACTTTTGTCAGTTTTCTAAATCTTTAAAAACAAAATAATAACCGACAATTTTTCGAAAAAAACATCAACATTGTTTGTCATGTAACTATCACAAATTTTTACAAAATTTTGAGGGTATGCTGTAAAAATAACGCTTTTTCGATTGCATTTTATAGTTTTTATAAAAACAAAACAACCAACATTTTTCCAAAAAATAATATCATATACATTGTTTGTCATGTTAATTAATTAATATATAACATATTTTTACAAAATATTGTCACACGCTCTTTTGATTTCATTTTACATTTTTTCTATATCTTTAAAAACAATATTAACCGAAATTTTTCCACAAAAATATCTATATTGTTCGTCATGAAACTAATGTAAAATATCACAAATTTTTACAACATCTTGAGGGTATAATGCCACAATAACGCTCATTTGATTGCATTTTACAGTTTTCCTAAATCTTTAAAAAACAAAATTATAACCGACATTTTTCACAAAATAATAACATCTACATTATTCGTCATGTAACTTATGGGCGCGCGAAACGAACGAATTACAAAACTGTTTTTATAAAAAAAATTGTAGATAATTTATTATACAGTGCTTGCAAATCCAAGTCCGACCGGTTTGGGAAGAACGCGTGAAAATAACAAGGATAGAACGCCAAAGCGAAGGCGCTTACAATACGCACGCCTGACGCTCTGACCAATCAAATTCTGTTTGGCATTCTATCCTTATTCTTTTCATGCGGGTATTGAACAACCATCCTTCCCAACGCGGTCGGACTTGGATTTGCAAGCACTGTATAATATTTTGGCATCAAAATTTTCAAAAATATTCTTCTTTTATTAAATAAAAAAAACGCAAGAAATATTTTATAAAAGTAGAGATAATTGTAATAATTGAAAGGTGCGGACGGGACAAAAAGAGATTTACCTTGTCACCTGTCAATTATTAAAATTATCTCTACTTCTATAAAATATTTCTTGCATTTTTTTTTAATTTAATGTATAGCATAATAAAAGAATATGTTTCACAATTTTGATGCCAAAATATTGTAAAATAAATTACCTAGTATTTTTTATATGGGCCTTATGTAACCTAAAACAAATTTGTTATATTGTCAAAATAACGCTTTTCGATTACATTTAAAAGTTTCTCTAAATCTTTAAAAATAAAAAAATTAATTGTCACTTATTAATTATCACCACTATTATAAGATTTTTTTTAAGTCAACGATCAAAATATCTTAAGAAGTAGCCCATATATAGAGTTCTCAGCGACATCTACCGTCCACTGGATAGTATATGATTTACTACTCCTCAAGTAGAAAACCATGTTGACATGATATTTGGAAGAAAACTGCTATATTTATTATAAGATTATTTTATTGTAGGAAAATATTACACATTTAAAATGTATAACAATTACATAACTAATTAAAAACTATAAAACAACAAAACTTTAAGATATTTAAAAAGTTACAATGCTCTCTGGATTTGGAACCTCAGCAATTTCCTCTTCGACACAAGAGTCATGAACAAGGAGAATACTCTCCACGGGTTCATTAACTATTTTATGATTACGCACATGTTTATCCAAGTCTTCCAAATCAGCGAAAATCTTTCCGCATATTTGACACACATTAATTGTTTCTTGACCGTCCGTAACGAAACTGGTTTCTCCATACTTAACAGTTGTGTCACGGTGATTGCATTTGTGTTTTTTTAGACTGCTAGAGCTGTAAAAACCTTTATGGCAAATCACGCATAAATATGAAGCCTCACCGCTATGGGTCCTGGTATGACTGGTAAGGTTTACCTTTAAGGCGAAAGATTTTCCGCAGTAACACTTGTACGGCTTTTCGCCGGTGTGGGTTCGAATATGCACCTTTAAATGTGTAGCTTGTAAAAAGCCCTTTCCGCATATTGGACATTTGTGAGGCCTCAAATTTGAATGCGATTTCATATGCCTATTAAGACCGGTTATTTGCGTGAACCTGTTAGAGCATATATCGCATGAGTACGGTTTCTCGCCTTTATGAAGCTTCTGATGGATTAAAAGATATGGTTTCGAGTAATAACTTTTACCGCACTCGCTACATAGAAAGTCGCCTTTTTGGGGCTTTGACACGTTTAAATGACTAGTGTTCTCTCCATCTGCGCTTTCCTCAGACTTAGATTTTTTTTCGTGACGCAACAGGTGCTTTTCGAAAAAGTGGTTCGATAGAAAGTGTTGACCACATATTGGGCAAGTTTTGTTTATACTTTCTCGGTTATGTCTACCCTTCTCAGGACGACTTTCGTGAGTTTTCACATGTCTTTTCAGGTGCGATGTGGTGCCAAAACCTTTAAAAAATAAAACCACACTGTAGCAGCCATTGTTTATAAGAATTAGAAAATTCCCGAAGCAAATTGTTGAAAGTAATATTTATGAAAAGGGATTGTTCACTTGTAACCGAGTGGAAAAAGTATTTAACTTTATTGTTAATAAACATTTCTTTTAAATTTAAAATATACTTTTGATGTTTAATAAATAAGATCTCAGGGTATTAAATCTAATCAATTATGTGTTGCTTGTGCTACACCTGTAGGTCAAACCAGTATATTTTCGCCGCTACTGATTTAAATAAATTAAAATAAGTTATTAACACATAAAATAAGTGTTAAAATTTAATAGATACATTGAATAGTTCACAAAATATTCCATCAAATTTTACAAGATTTTAATAATATTTAATACCACAAAAATATAAAGTTATAAAGTTAAAGTTATAAAGTGCTCTTTTAGTTCCACCCTTACATCCAAACTAAGATGTCCCATAAGCCAACTGAATGGCTTGTGCGGGTTAGGGGTAGGAACGGACCGACGGCTTAAAGTCCCCTCCGAAGGACTATACACAATGGACAAACACAAATAAACAACCATACCCAAGTGGGATTCGAACCCACGACCTCTCGGCTCGTACCCAGGAGCTCTGACCACTACACAACATAATGTTATCTTTATTAGTTTTTTTTAACAAATTTTGGCCACTCTTTTGCCATTCCGGTAAATTGCGGTGCACTGGCATTTGTTATTGATGAAAAAATATAAAGCACGCTAATAATATTATGAGAAGCATTTATTGGAATTAATGATTTTGCGACATTTTCTCATAGGTACAAAGATAATGTTGACGTTTGACATTATAGGTTATGTGGAGGAATTTATTTTACAGTGACCTGTAATTTTACAGTTAGCTACGCAGATTTCGAGCCAAATGCGATAGATGGAACCACTTTTCCTATTTAATTTTAATGTATTTTCATTGCTGTACGGAAGAAAACTGCTACATTTATTAAAATATTGTTTTATATAATATTGTAGGAAAATATCATACATTTTAATATTTATTTAAAAAATGTATAACAATTACATGATTAATTAACTATTGTAGTAATGTGATGATGAAAAGTGTAATTAAATACACTATCAAAAAAATTGCAAAAAAAAACAATACACTTAGAATTTAAGATATTTACAAAGTTACTATATTTTCTGAAGTAGGAACCTCAGCAATTTCCTCTTTGACATTAGAGGCATGAACAATTTGAATGGTTTCCACGGGTACATTAACTTGTTTATGATAGCGCAAATGTTTATCTAAGTCGTCCATATCCACGAAAATCTTTCCGCAAATCGAGCACACATTTATTGTTCTTTGATCGTCCTCGGTAAGAACATCAGTTTCCCTGTACACAACAGTTGTGTTGTTGTGACTTTTTCTGTGTTTTTTGAGACTGCTGGAGTCGTAGAAACCCCTATTACAAATCACGCATAAGTAAGGAGTCTCGCCGGTGTGGATCCTTGTATGAACCGTGAGGTTACCCTTTAAGGCGAAAGTTTTGCCGCAGAAGGAGCAAACGAACGACCGCTCGCCGGTGTGAGTTCGCATGTGGTAGGTCAAGTGAGGGGCTTGCATAAACGACTTATCGCATATTTTACACTTGTGAGGTCTTATCCCCTTGTGCCCCAACATATGAGTGTCGTAAGTGCCGCTGTGCGCAAAACTTTTCGAGCACAAAATGCACGAGTACGGCCTCACGCCGGTGTGAACCTTTAAATGGGACACAAGCGCTGCGTTAGTATAGAACCCTTTACCGCAATCGCTGCACAGGAAGCTCCTTTCGCCATGCTTTACCATGTGCGCAGTCAAATAATTCTTCGTCTTGAACCCTTTATCGCAGACCTCGCACTTAAAAGGTTTTTCTTCTTCGTTCACTTCAGGCTCTTTTTCCACATTGCCGTCGCCGCGATCGTGCTTTTGCATGTGCAAATTGTACGCCCACTGCCTCTTAAAAATTCGCCCACAAATTTTGCAACCTGCTTCCGGATTCATGCGACGTTCGCCGTCGCAGAACCCAATTTCGTGACGTTTCAGCTGCGTCGACTGGATAAAGCCTTAAAAAATAAAACCGGGCTTTAGCTGTTAGCCTCAGCGATGTTAATTTCCGGAAGCAAAAGATTAATTGTGATTAGTAGAAGCGTTATAGAGAGTGTCCCTGGCAAAACTTAATTGAAATCACATTTTAACTATATAGTTTGATAAAATAACAAATTCATAAAACGATACATTTCTTATAACTTATGACGTATTACACATTATACTTTTTGTTCTCACCAATAAAAGAAATATATTATATAAATATATTTCTTTGAATTAATAATTTATTATGCTGTTGATTTATTTACCACGGTTGAATAGACGTTGAAAATAAATTTTTAATACTTATAGCAGTTCCAAATGCATACATATATATGCGTGGGCAGAAAAAACATTTTTACCTTATTAATAAAAAATGGTGTTATAGCCGAGCCCATTGTTCGCTGTCGAGGCGCTAGCCGTATGTTCTGTGGCGCTAGCCAGGCTGCAGATCCAAGGCAGTAAATATGATTTGTCCTTAAAAATTCTGTACTTCTTTTGGAATTCCCGACATTTTCTCATAGGCAGATAATGTTGACGTTTGACATTATAGGTTATGTTCATGAATGTATTCTACAGTGACCTGTAATTTTACAGTTACCTACACTGATTTTGAGCTAAATGCGATATATGAACCACTGTTTTTATGTAATTTTAATGCTTTTCCATTATTGCATTGCATAATATATCGGTTATATAAGTGTTATAATCGTGGAGTCTACACAAGGAGCCCAAACTTAATAAGGGAAATTGACAAAACCTGCCCTCTAAATTGCACAAATTAAGTCTTTTTTTTCACCACCAGGTGAAGATTCTTGTTTACATTAAGTTTGGACTCCTTGTGTAGGCTCCATGGTTAAAATATTGATATACGCTTGAAAAAAATACTTCTTTTCACTTTTTTTCATGAAGAAAAATCAGGACGTTCCACTTTGAAAGAAAACTGCTATATTTATTATTATTATTATTAAAGATAATTTTATATAATATTGTAGGAAAATATCTTACATTTTAATATTTATTATTATTATTATTATTTATAACAATAAACTGATTAATTAGTTGTAATACCGGATGATGAAAAGTGTAATTTAAAACACTAACAAAAATTTAAGATATTCACAAAGTTAGAATGCTTTCTGAAGTAGAAACCTCAGCAATTTCCTCTTTGATATAAGAAGCATGAACGAGTTTAATGGTCTCCACGGGTACATTAACTTGTTTATGATAGCGCAAATGTTTATCGAAGTCTTCCATATCAGTGAAAATCCTTCCGCAAATCGAGCACACATTTATTGTTCCTTGATTCTCCTCGGTGACAACATCAGTTTCCCTTTTCACAACAGTTGTATTCTGGTGACTTTTTCTGTGTCTTTTGAGACTGCTAGAGTCGTAGAAACCCCTATTACAAATCACGCATAAGAAAGGAGTCTCGCCGGTGTGGGTCCTTGTATGAACCGTGAGGTTCCCCTTTGAGGCGAAAGTTTTGCCGCAAAACGAACAAACGAACGACCGTTCGCCAGTGTGAGTTCGCATGTGGACCTTCAAGTGAGGGGCTTGCATGAACGACTTATCGCATATTTTACACTTGTGCCGCCTTATCCCCTTATGCCACAACATATGATTATCGTAAGTGCCCATGTGCGCAAAACTTTTCGAGCACAAAGCGCAAGAATACGGCTTCACGCCCGTATGAACCTTCAAATGGGACACGAGCTGTCCCTTCGTATAAAACCTTTTATCGCACTGGTCGCACGGGAAGCTCATTTCGCCATGCTTAACCATGTGCGTGGTCAAATATTTCTTCGTCTTGAACCCTTTACCGCAGACCTCGCAGTTAAAAGGTTCATTTTCTTCATTCACTGCAGGTTCTTTTTCTAGATGGCCATCGTCGCGAACATGCTTTTGCATATGCAATTTGTACGCCCCCTGCCTCTGAAAAATTCGCCCACAAATTTTGCATTCTGCTTCCACATTTATGCAGAATCTTTCGTGACGTTTCAGCTGCGACGACCGGTTAAAGCCTTAAAAATAAAACCGGGCTTTAGCAGTTAGCCTTACTGATGTTTTCAGAAGCAACAAAAATCTGATTAGTAAAAGCGTTATAGAGAGTGTCCCTGACTAAAATATCATTTTAATTATATAGTTTGATAAAATACAGTATAAGTTTCATAATTAATTTTGACTGATAATTGTATAAGTCCCATCTTCACCAATGTTCACCATTACTTCACTGTTTACTCGATCATCATAAATAAATTCTTGTATTTGTAAAGGTGTATCAGTGTGTTCTCTAAGCGTGTGTTTTTTCAGACTCGTCCCGTCGTAGAAGCCTTTGTAGCAATGATTACAACGAAAAGGTGTGTCGCCAGTGTGCATCCTGGTGTGGGTGACTAAATTGCCTTTTAGAGCGAATCTTTTCCCGCAGAAACTGCACATGTACGGGCGTTCGCCAGTGTGGGTCTTCATGTGATTTTTCAAATGAGTTTTTTGGTTGAACCTTTTTTCGCACTGGCTGCAAGCGTACGGCTTATGTCCTGTATGTGTTAGAAGATGCGTGGTAAGAGTGCCTTGGTGAGCAAAAGATTTATGGCAGCGATCGCATTGGTGTGGCTTATCCCTTGTGTGCACTCTCAAATGCGAAGCTAACTCGGCTTTGGTTACAAAACCATTTCCGCATTCAGTGCACAAGAACGATTTTTTTCCGTGCGTTAGGGAATGTTGCTTCAACACCACCTTGGTGCTGTAACCTTTTCCGCACACCTCGCAAATAAACGGTTTATCCACCTCATCGTTATCTTTTTCTGTTGATATATTTAAGTGTTGATTTTTGTGCGCCCGGAACGCCTTATATCTTTTAAAAGGCATGCTGCAAATTTCGCATATAAAAATTTGAACGTTGCCAATTAAAGTTTCCTCTGGTTTATGTCTTTTAAGGTGCTCTTGCAAAGTGGTGGGTTGAATGAATCCTTAAAAATAAGTTATTTGTCATTTTCATTATTGGATTTAGGAAGTTTCGTTTATACAGGGTGTCCCACAGAAGATCTTCTTAAATATGCTAATTTGATTTAATAAATTATGGGAATTAAATAGTTGGGTTCGTCAAATTCATGCTTCAGGAAAAAAAATATGTTATAAAAATTTAATGTAAGTTTATTTACTTTTGGTTACATTTGAACTTTCTTGGTTTATCCTTTTTATAACTTAAAATTCTTATTTCCTAATTATAATTTTATGGATAAACTTGAGAAAATATATAATTATAAAATAACACCGTACCTTTGCGAAGGTTTTTGACTCGCTGAATCCGAATCCAACCTCAAAATTTTTTTCGTTATATTTAAATTTATGTTACATCACAAAATAATTTTTCTGTATACAAAATATATTTTATTAAAAACATATTGGTTTACTTTTCAACACTGATCATAACTACTTCATCGTAATCTATTTCTACCTCGTCGATTACAACTTCATTTATCACATCATCTTCGCAAACAAATGTTTCTGTTTGAGAGGGTTCATCAACTCTAGGATGCACTTTGCGAATGTGTTTCTTAACACTCGAACCATCGTAAAACGCTTTGTCGCAGTAAGGACATGCAAAATCCTTTTCGCCGGTGTGAATTTTTTTGTGGGCCACTAAATTTACTTTTTGAGCAAACGCACTGCCGCACATATGGCACTTGAACGGCCGTTCGCCCGTGTGAGTTCTCATGTGATTTTTCAAGTGAGTTAATTGAACGAACTGTTTATCGCACGCGCTACAAGGGTACGGCCGTTCGCCTGTATGCGTACGATGATGCAACGATAAACCAGCTGAATCGGCAAACGTTTTATCGCAGAAGTTGCATTTGAACGGCTTTTCTTTAGTGTGCACTCGCGAATGAAGAGTTAAGCTGGTTGCTCTCGAAAACGTTTTTCCGCATTCGTTACACAAAAACGATTTTTCCATGTGTAAATGCGCATGCCTGTTCTGCAACCCTTTAGTGCTGAACCCTTTGCCGCACACTTCGCACATGAACGGTTTATCTTTATTCAAGTCGGTACTATCTGCTGCTTCATCGATAAAATTAAAGTGGCGTTCTTTGTGCCTTTCAAGAGAACAGTGTTTTTTGAATTTTAAGTCGCAAATTTGACAGGTCAAATTTTTCTCTTCGTTGTGTGCATTAATGTGATTTCTCAAATAGGTGGCTCGGATGAATCCTTAAACAATATACACTTTATTTAACTTTTATTATTCGATTTCGTTTAAATAGGGTGTCCCAAGAAGAATCTTTTGATTTTAAATTAAAAAATTATAATTGAATTTTGTTCATCCATTCAGCATCAGCTGGCCAAATTTAACAATATTTTTTTTGAAACCCTTTTAAATAAGTACCTACTTGTTTTTTAACACCACCTCAAATAAAAACCTTTTCATGAAGTAGTTAAATAAATTGAAGGCAATCATTTTCGTTTTTTACATCAACGTCAATAATGAATAAAAAAAACAAAATTTTTGGAAGATTGCTTTAAAGTTGTTTTGTGTTATATTAAAGCCGAATTTTATTGGGAAAAGTACTCCATTACTGAAACGGTGACATTAATTACTACATAAACATAACAAACATTTTTTTAAATCCCATCTTGTGCACGTTAGATTTGTTTACATTATTGAAAATATGTGATACGTGTCAGATAATTACTTGTATTTAAATCGTGAAGTGATTTCTATTTGATTCATGCCAAAGACCTGTGGTTTTAGATTTTGTTAAAAAAAATGAGGAGAATCTTTTAGGTACCAAATCTGAAACTGTGTCATTTTCATACCCCTTTTTGTTGGGCTACAACTTTTTTCTATTAACATTTTTTTAATAAATGTAATTTTAATGACTAGTAAGTGTGTTTTTAATTTTATTATTTGGACCAATGAAAAATTGTAATAAATGGACGTTTTCATATGAAATCGTACCGCAGTGTAATCGTCATAAAAGTT